CAGAAAAGAGATACTTGTTCCTTAACGCGAGCACGCGCTCTGTGTGAAATTTTTATGTTACAAAACTCGATTCACAATGACCCATAAACGCGTATTATATCGTGGCATTTAATTAAACTGATCGATTTGAATTGCTGCGTTCTTAAGTCGATAATCAACTGCTTCGTTTCGCGGAACTTTTTTTTTTTTCTTTTTTAAACGCCGCGTTCTCATGCTTCATTTTAAACATAAAGAAGTTATGTGTATACATATACATGTTTCAAATTAATTTGCTCTCGGGTAGGCTTAAATCTGCCGCTTAAATGCAAATCGGCAGCAATTCATCTTGCTCATTCCGTTGCCGCGAGCAATAAAGTGTTACGCGAATTAAGACGTTCGCCGGCAAAACATATGGAGATCAGCCGAAAAGAAACCGGACTATCTCGTCGCGGAGACGATAAGGAGAGATGAGCAATGGAATTTGGAGAATAGCAAAATAGAAGAACGCGCGAAATTCTTGCAATAGCTCACATTTAACTCTCTCATTATTCGGTAAGAAAAAAATTTCTTTTTGTTTTTTGTTTCAATGAAAAAAACATTACTCCCGCGCTCTGTGTGATAATACACGTTATAAAAATACTTTTACAAGTCGAGTTTTACGTATGGGATCGCATTTGTTCCACTAGTTCTTTTCATCCGACTTACATAACTGTCATCTCCAAACAGAACAAACGTGTTCAAGCACCGTCTGTTAATTAATAAACGTCTCGGATAAAAGCTTTCCCGACAATCTTGCGATTGTCATTCTATATGACGCGACAGATTCCGCGCAGCGCCGCGCCGCCAAAATCCCACGAATCACTCTGGCACGCTACTATGGTAGCACTGTTTTGACTTTCACTGAATATCGACGTTCCGCTTCCGTGCGACTCGATCCGATTGACGTCGCACATCCAGATAGTTGCAGAACCGGAATCCAATCCAACGTTCCCGGCTTTTTCTACACTGAAACTTTTTTTTTGCTCGATTATTTTGGTTTTTTTTCTCCTGACTGATTTTTTTCTGCTGATTTTGTTCAACAAACTTGTCGCTGTGTATTTCAGCATTTCGAGGCAATCAAGCTAGTCAATTAAACTGTTATTTATTAGCCACAAATAACTTCTTGTCGGACAATTTTTGTGAAGATTTTTTTTCACGTATTATTTATTGATCTGATGATTCATCAGGAGTGGTGAATTTACTTCGTTTGATATAGTAATATAAAAATATTAACATATAATATCCCTAAACGTCACTCGGAGGAATCAACGTGGCGAGAGACAGATGTTAATTCGAGAGTCTCTATTATGTCCCTTTCAACCGGTCTTAAGCAGTCCATTCCCATCGTTTACTCTATAAAACTCACAAACGACTCAATTTTCAGTTTCTACGAGTTCTTTCGTTCTCTCAAAAATTCGTCGGGAACGTGATCAACATCGCGTAACGGACTTTTAATCTAGGCTTCATCTATCCGCGGTTCTTGCGTTATCTCATCCCCGGGAATACGGACCTCGACGACTAGTCGAGGTCCCTCCCCGCGATGTTCCTGTTTTCACTATACCCCAGCGGACCTTTCGTGAGACTCGGACGAGGCTCCGAAAATTTTCGGCGCAGGCCCTTGCCGCTGCTCTCTTCGGCACATGTCACCGTGTCACATGCGGCCGCGATTTCGGGCCCGTTCTGCGTACGTGTCGCGCATGCGCGAGCATCTGATACAGCCGTAACAAATGACATCGTCGAACCGCTTGTACAGACGCTGGCTCGGCTATCTCTTTATCTCGCGGGCAACGTCGACGGCGCAACTATTGTCGGGCCCGGTTCTGCCACAAGCCTCATTGAGTCTGGGACAATACTTCGCCGGTCGATCAACAGTCGACCAGCGTGGATGTTGTCGTGCGAACGTTCGTAGTAATGAATCATCCGACCGGTCATTACTTTAGCCGCGTTTTAAGGATGGCTTAAGCGGGCCCTAGTTAGAAGACATGACGCCGGATTATGAGTCCGATGCGGGGTCTTCTTCATAGGGAGGACTTTCGTTGTAACACGTGTTGCTAACCGGTTCCACCTTAATTGTCTTAAACGGGCACCATCATAATTCTGACCTTATCTCTCCGGAGGAGCGGCAGCGCGTGCATCGCGCGACGTTCTCTCGTCGTCGTCGTCGTCGTCGTTGTCGTTGTCGATTGTCTGCTCGTAGCGGCTTTGTGATTAAAAGGTAAATTTTAAAATCGACTCAAGCGATATTCTCATTTCGAGAATAGCAAAACAGAAAGAATAATAGAGATAAAACTCGGCGTGTTCGATAATGCTGTGTGTAATAATAAAAGTGAGACAAGGTTCTCGACGTCGTCGTTATTATCATCTTGCCAAAATAAGCGACTCGACTTCAGACGACGAGGTGAAATATGATCGCGCGTGATTTATAATACGAGTATCGACTTTTGGATCGGCCACTTTCTCGAAGCCTTACGCTTCATAAATCACGCAATGATATGTATTTTTTTCTTTTTTCATGATTATGCTTTTTTGTACTCTTCTCTTCGTTTGTAGTTTTGACTTTTGCGGTTCTCTCTGTTTTCTCACTTTTGGATGATTCCCGATGAACGCTTCTCGCGTAAAAAGCTTTGTTTTGGCTATATATCTTCAGCGCGAGGGTTCAGAAGAGCGCAAGAGAGAGTAAAAACGAGATACTTGATAAGATACGAAAGGCCAGTCTGAAATATTCTGGACCCCGGGTCGTGAGGGTCCTGACGATTGTGAGGGAGAGATGGTCGAGAAACGGATGGAGGGGAGGAGAGGCCGAAATTAGGTTTGCGAGGCACGTTTCTTCGTTCGTGGCGCGGCGCGAAGAGGATTCGGGTTCACCGTGCGACGGTGTCAGGACGTTAACCGTGAAGTATCCATCACTGCCTCTACCGAGAAACCTTACCACAAACACGACGGTGTTCCGACTTCGGTCGGATCGGTTTAGATAAATGTAATAGTCCATAGTTCAGCTTGCTAACAAGGCTAGTCCTCCCCTAGATCCGAGATAAAGCCCGCGGATTCAACTGACTCCGGGACCGCTCATAATGAGGCCCACTAGAAGTCGATCGCCGATTAGGACATTCTTAGGCGATACTTCATCAATCATCCGCATCTCGCCGCCGAATTCTTTATGCGAAATCCGCGCGCGCGGATGTGTCGATATGTACGCGACACAATTCAAAAAGTACTTACATATTTACGTGCATAAAACGCATGACGATCATGCGATGAATAAACGCGGAAAGAAAATTGCGACGAAGGATCTTGTACAAATCTGTCGCTCGTCGTCGTCTTGCGACACACAAAGGAACAAACGACGTGTATCTTGAGATTGATTTGCAATATATCGATTATATGATCGACATTATATCGTCAACATTTGATCTGGGAGACAGCGAGTTACAAATGACTTATTTTGAATGATTTGTCGCGCTGACTTGATAAAAAACAAAATATCGCAAACAAAATGATTATTAATCATCGCGGGATATTTCAATGGGACGTCGTTCGGCTCGAACGGTATTAATTTATAACCGAAAATAATCTGTTAACTCCGTGAGCAATGCACTTTCAATTAATGATATCGATAACATTATTAACTCGCTCGGTCATCATCAGTGTGTACAAAGCGTTTTAAATTCACTGTGAAGTTTGTTTTTATATCAACGAGCATTTTTTTTGAGTCACATTTTAATCAAAAATTTTCTTGTGCCATTTTTACCTTCGATCAGTTTTAGAACTAATCTTTAAATCAAATATCTCTTTACAACTTTGTTCAAAATTATTCAATAAATATTGATTGTTTCCGGAAACCAATTTTCGAGAAGGTCTTTAATTTTAATCGTCACTTAAAATTTTTATTGACAGGTGTCTTAAAATTTTTACACACATATAAACCTTAATTTCAAGTTGATCAGAAAACGTACGATCAAAGGATATTTAAGCTTTTGGAACACTTAGTGCACACACACATCATACACACACATTGTTCATGTATAATATACATATATATGTATATATAATATACACTATGTGTATATACTTTGCTTCGTCCAAAAACCGGATTTCTCTCTTTTTCTCTCTCTCTCTCTCTCTCAGGTGCGCGCAACGTAACGAGAAGCGTGAGATACATTAACTCGCGAAGCAGCTTCCCACGTGTTGATTATGTTGAAATTTATTATTAATTCCACCGCGATGTGATCTCTCTCTCATTCTTTCTTTCTCTCTCTCTTTCATGTCGGTGCGCATGCAATCCGCGCGCGTAGCTTTATGACGAGAAGCTTTAATTTTCTCGGGAACGCGCGTTAATCATTTATCGACGATTAACTCGCAGCCGCCGATAAAAACTATAAAGAACGGTTCTCGATATTGCGCACAACGACCGAAGAGAATCGAATGAAACGTCTTAATTATTTCTCAAAATAAGCGCTATTGTGCGCGATTTCATACTGCGTGTTGTATTTTTATAGCCTGCATGGGCGTGTAATATAATATTATATTGTTTGTTCATTTACCGTGAGCACAGTGTGATGTCAATATACAAGATTTATATCGATTGAAATAAATGGCTTTAGTTAACACATTTCACTTACCTTTTGTTGTAAGGTTGTACGAAACAAAGCTCGATATGCGCACGAATCCGCGGAAACACTTTTCTTTCGAGATGTAAGGGAACACTCTCGCTTACACTCCATGATAATATAATCGATATATACAATTACAGAAAGAAAAACAGAGAGAGAGAGAGAGAATTTCTAGAAACACACAACTCCGTTATTAATCGCAAAATATACCGGCCGACACAAATGCAAATTGCAATCCAACATGGCGCGTCTCGCAAACTGACTTCAAAATGTATTGAAGAATATCGACATCTCGATTCTCGAGATATCGATATTGAAATCGCACTGTAGTATACCAGTGATACCAACTGAAGAAATTGAGAATGCGGCGTGCTTGAGAACATAACCTATCGCGACCTGTCACAATAAATAATAAACAAACACATAATAGATATTCAAATAAAACAAAAATAATACGTATCAAATTTTATCTTTTACATACATCATTAATGCAATAACATTTATGTAAAAAAAGTTATTCTTGAAGTTCTGATATAACATAATGAGCGAACAGAACGAACTTATCGTTTGTGTGCCAGGTACTTGAATTTCTATTTGCAATTATTTAAATTTAATAATTTTGGAAAAGCTTGTGTTAAGTCAAATTTTCAAAATCTTTTAAAGGGCAAAGATTATGTGCAGCTGACAAAATAGCTGGACCAGGAACGTACGAGCAGCAAGGTTACATCTATTCGAAGCTCGCCGGTGTTGTAAAATTAACGACAAATGACAAAGTAAGTTTTGCACGATTTTTTAATTGTGCATAAAAAGAGAAAAAAATTGGTAAATGTTTTTTTTTTTTTTTACAGACGTGTACAATTGAGGTGCGTGGTATAACAGAGCAAAGTATCGTTCCCGCACCAGGAGACATAGTGACCGCTATGGTTACCTTAGTTAATCATAGATTTTGCAAATGTAGTATCAAGTGCGTAGGTGATATAGTATTAACAAGACCTTACAGGGGGATTTTAAGAAAAGAAGATGTCAAAGCACTTGAAAAAGATAAAATAGAAATGTACAAGTGCTATCGACCTGGAGATATTATTCTTGCAAGAGTTGTATCCTTTAAACTTTTATTTTACAAAATATTATATATTTATATAATAATATTGTGTTTTTACTTAGAATTGTTGCTCATAATTTTTCCTATAGTTTTAAACAGATGCCAATGACAGAAGCACATACTTATCAGTTGAGTACAGCTGAAAATGAACTAGGAGTAGTTATAGCTCATAGTGAAGAAGGTACCTCTTATATATATTTTTTCTGGAAATATATACGTATGTATATATACATATATCTCATTGTGTAATATAACACAATTTTTTTTTATACAGGGGTAACTATGGTACCAATCAGTTGGACTCAAATGCAATGTCCAAAATCCTTAAGCAAAGAATACCGAAAAGTCGCTAAAGTTGTACCCGAACACATTGTGGCAGAACACAATGATCAGTAAATTATTATACTTTAGTTTTGTACCAATCTTTATAGCGTATAGTTTTCTCGAATTCACTGTAAATGTTGAAAATCATTAAAGAGCAATATAATACAGATAATTGGACTCACTAATTTTGCTACTAATAAACTTTCATCTTCCAATTCAGATATATACTTTATTTTGTCGTTTATCTGGTTTATTCAACATTATTTGAAACGTACACATAATACTATATGTACATATAACACTATAAATAACATATATCAAGAATTTTCCTTTCAGCAATATTTTGTCCGCAAAGTACATACTCGTACATTCAAAGATAATAAATAAACTAATGTTTTATAATAGATAATTATAATACAATAATATTGAAGTATTTATTTAATCATTTAGTCAACTTACTAAAATTAAATAATTTTAAACTTAATTAAAATAATTATAATAACTGTTTGTCCATAAATATTACTAATCTGAAGATAGGATCCGTTAGTTTAAGTCAAAAGTATCTGCCTCTGTCTAAAATATATTTTCACTTATGTATATAACGTAGTCGGTTTTTTTTAAAACATGTAAATTGTGTAACTTGATTTGCTTTGCCTGAAACTCTTTTTATGCAATTGAATTTACAACAAAATACGTCGAATATTTAATTTAAAGTTTTATTCTTGGAAAATTGTTACAATGTTTATGACTAAACTAACATTATACATTATGTTTCAAAAAAAACCAATAAAAAATATTAAATAATAATATTAATATGTGTGTAAGTACACGATATGTACCTATTATTAAATAAAACTTTCAATTGTGCATATTTATGTAAAACTAGAATCAGATTTTGAAATAACTATCAAGATCCTAATCGTATCAGAATACTATAATACTTCATAATCTGTTTCTTGCGCGAAGTATTTAATGAGCTTCAAACACATCATCTTTTTATAAAATACTTTTACTTTGCAAGATGATATACGTCATCCATGATTTGAGCATGACTAAACGTGTTTATTGTTTTATGCTTCGGAGTGTGTAGGTAATCCACTTGTGTATCCCAATTCTCTTTGTTTTGCAGTTACAAGATTTTTTGCAGTAACGATAATAACCTGTCACATATTACAAATTTTTTCACCTATTTTATAGTTTTATAATTTATAAATTATGTTTCTAGTTGATTCGATAATTCTGCTTACCTAGTTTTTATACAGCTCTCTTCAAAATAAAATTACTAAATATTTCTATCTACTTGGAAAGTTTATTTTGTATAATAATATGTTACTTATTCTGAATTTATAAAAATGGCCATAATAGCGACAAATGGCTCTATAATGGTTATAATGACCTTCATACTGACGTACAGACACTGCAACAATTTACATTATACCTTATGTTACAAATTTCTTATCTTTTTAAACATAATTTTCTTTTTCTTTTATCAGCAACCATTATCATTTGTAAATTTGGAATACATATTTTAATTATTATATTTATAGCGCGCGATAAAATATTATTTTTCTATACCAAATATGGATTTTGTAACTTTTGCTCAACTTAGTATATTACATTTACGTTTTTAAGATTTTATATATGCAATTGTTTTCTTATGTTCTTTTAGTTATACCTTTGATTAAAGAATTTAAGAGATAATTTCTTTTCGTTGTAATTTCTGGATTTGCAAATAGTAGTGAAATTTGATTTCGAAGTAAATATATCCACTAGTATCTTTTTACTATCAAACTCAAGAGTTAAAGGAATGTTTTTATAGACAGTGTCGACTGACAAAGTTGTCACTTCGAATTCTGGAAGTACCTAAAAAAGGAAATTAATTAATTAGATCAAAGTTTTCTTGTAAGTCTTCTGACAATGATATGTTAAAATAACAAACATTGAGTTATTTTTGCATAAGCAATATATGTATTAGACATATACATCTAGGCATAATCTATTCGACAAATTTAGCGTTTTAGAAAAACTATACTAACCTTATCGAGTAGATATACGCTTAAAAACTTAGATGCGCCAGATAGCCAAGAGGAAGACCAATATAATGTGTGTGTTGTACGAAGAATCCATTGATATGCTAGGTAATGTGCTATGAAGCGCGCTACACTCAATTTTTTCACAACTGAAGATTGGTCGTCAATGAAGAATGTGTCTAGTAGGCTGAAACAGTGTTAAAAACAATCTTAATCGTTCCTAAATTATTGTACTTGTTTTATGTATTAGTTACAATAAAAAATAAAGCAGTTATCTCAATACGTGAATATGTTCTAATGGTCGAATATTTGGTAAAGTACATATTAGATATGTAAATATTAATTATAACACATTTCAATATTTAAATGTTTTTTAGCACATAGTTGTAGTTATCAGTTTATCGATCTTATATTTTTGTATATAAATACTATGTTATTGTCCGTAATATCGGTTGATGGTAAAATAATTGGTAAAAGTGTAAAAAAATTTAAATTAACACACAAATCGTACCTTTATCTTTACACCAAATTACTAAATGTCGAGCTAGTTTTACTTATATTTATTTCACATAAATACAAAAATTTACATATTTTATATTATACGTACCAAATAACCAAATACCGTATTTCAAACACTGAGTATTAAAGTACTTGCGATACGCATATTACCTATGAACAACAAAAGCATGAGTTGTAATGGTTTTCTCTTCTTCAAGACCAGAAACAGCGATGTAATTTGTTTCCTCAACTTTGCATTGGTCGTGTATATTTTGTTCCTTTAATTTTTTTATCATTTTCATCGTAAACTCTTTTGCAACATTGAATTGGATCTGAGGTACAGATTTATGTGACCACATTGTAACATCCTGATCATGATTATACACGTCGTGCTTGGGCATTACAACTATGGCTATGCAATATGGGGATACGGGAGGAGTAGATTTGAAAGTCGTCCAAACTAGTGATGTCGACAGAAAATTCGTGACGTCATTCCCGTATTGCTCCGACATATAAACTTTTGAATTTGATAAAGCCATATAGTCCGCAGGATGCCTTATGGAAATATTAAAAACTGACTTGAAACGCGAATTGTTCCAACACGGAAAAATTGCTTGAGGGCCAGTTTTGTGAGTTCGTGTTGCTATCATCCATCTATTAATATTTATAACAAAAAAAAACAAATATAGATGTTTCATGCATAAAATTGTGTTGTAACATAAAATTTGTTAATAAATGTAATATAGTTTTATCGAAGACTGTACGACTATTTGAAAATGTTCCTAAGTTTTGAAAAATTTTGATCAAAATTTACAAATAAATTTTAGTCAATCTGATCAAAAAAAAAATTTGCAAAATTTGTAATTTAGTGAATAATCATTAATTAATAAATGTGACTTAATGAGGAAACATGGATTAGAACTCTATAGGTGTATGATTTTCAGCTAAAGTAAAGAAAAATAGTTTTTTTCATACAATCTTCTAACAACAACAGGTAAAATAAACAAGCGGTGTGTAAGACAGCTTCTTGCTAACCAGCTAATTTTCACAACTAAAAATCATACACGCTTACAGAGTCCATCGCTTTCGACGCGCTCATATTCACATATATTGCGAATTTTTCAAAATGGTAGGTACATGACTTTTCTTTTCAGGTTGACCCAAGCTATTTCTCGGCTGTGTCATACTTTTTCACATATTTTGTACATAAGCTCAATCTGACTTACTTATATCACTTTAAGTTGCACTCGAGTAGCTTACTACTCGAGACAGTTATTTTATGTCTGCTGTTTCTACATTTTGTCATGTATAATAGTAATTGTAAACGATACAATTGTGAACTTGTAAACCATAAAATACTAAATATTTTTACTAAGTAAATAAGAGTTTTACTTACCTTTTATTTCCATCGTCGGAAATAGAAGTTCGAAGAAAGCCATCCTTTTCCAAATTGGTAGTAAAATAACCAAAATAGTGTATTTCTAAAACATAATATCCATATTCTATCGTTTTGTCAAAAACTAGGCTAAAAATTTCCGAGTGAGAATCAAAACGGACGTCTTTTACTTTATAAGTTGCATTTATGTATTCATACGGCCTAGTACGGTCTAATGAAGATAATGTTTTATTTATTGACTCTATTTTCCACAATATGGCGTTGTGTATTTTAGCCACGGCTGAGTGAAAACCTATTGTCTGCTTTTCCTCTTCAATACGAATAAGGATTTGGCAATGACCTCTAAAGATATTTGTTTCTATTTCTGGTTTTAAAAGGATTTCGTAAAATAGAGGTGTTATGTTATATATGCCCAGTTCTTTATAATTAGTTTGCGCTTCTACGAGACAAAGTAGACTGTTACTTAGCAATAATTGTAGGAAAACCATGATAACTCTTCCTGTATGCATCTATAAACAGAAGTTTTATAAATTACAGAAAAAACAAAAACAAAACGCATCGCAAAATTACTACTATAAAAACATGAAGAAAATAGTAAGAACCACAGTGAATGTTAGGAAAAATAATATAAAGTATGAGAGAGTGAAAGAGAGATTAAAATGAATAAAATATTTACAAATTGTTTAATGGTTGCTTTTATATACCATAATGATTGCGAAATAGTGAGAAATGTACAGCAGTAGCTAACGTATCTACACTCACCTTAATTACGGATTTTCGTCGTAATGAACTTTTATATCTTAGATCCTTCTAGGAAAGGTCGACTGAAAAGTTTGAAACTTTTGCTTGAAACGGAACCTCTGCAAAAAAAATTCAAACAAATATTTATCCGAAAATTTGTATTTGCGTTTTGTATGTGTCATACTGTGAAGTGTAAGTGATATGCTTCTAAGATATCTTTGGAATTCTGAGAATCAAATATTTTCAGACCTAAGTGTATATGAATTATTTTCACATCCGTTTGACCTCGGTAATATTGTATATGTTTTTATTCTTCAAAGACACTTTTTATATGTTTGTACGTTATACGTATATATTCTACGTCATAAAATTTTCACTGTCACCGACACTGTCGAGAAGACCAGAGAAATCTTTAGCAATAATTAAAATTGATTATTGTTATTGCATACTTATTTTCTATTTTTCTATTCAATTTGAGAACAATATTTTATTATATCAGTCTTTGTTAAAAACACAGGCATCATTAAAATAACTGCAAGTTATGTCGATATTGTGTTTGAAACAAACTTTATCGCGGTAAAATAACTTCTAGCAAAAGAAAAAAAAGATGAAATTCATAAACTATTCACTAAACAGAACAACGTGACAACAATATCTTTGTTAATTATTTTCGTTTTTAGTCAAGAAATCAATGACTTACATAAATTATATACAAAATATTAAAAAATATCTATCAATATATGTTTTCCTACTCTATAAATATTTTTTAATTTTGATATAAACGTTATCGCTCTTTATATAAGTATTTTGCTAACTGAAACAAATTTCGTTCAACAGTAATTTTATCTTGCTTATTAAATATATCATAAATTGTTTTTCTAGAGAAAATCGATGTTATTGTTGAATATACATAATAGTTGTATTTTATATGCACAGTGTAACTGAATTATTGCAAAATGTTTTATCAAAAGACGTTGATATAACAGACTACTTACATCGCTACTTGTGCCTGATGTGTACCTGTGCCGTTTCACAGATTCGTCGGAACTGAACGTGTAAGAGTGTATCTTGTACACTTTCCTTGTATTACAGAGAAATCTAGTATATACTACAGTACTTTGTGACAATGTCGATAAAGATCATGTGATATGTGTACCGAACATTACATCTTGTATCTTTGTTTAGAATTTAATGAGAAATAAGGATGTAACGATGCTTCTAAACATTTGTAGTCTTCGAAGCATATGTAAACTCGCATGAAATCATTTTCTCTTAAAGCAACTATTTCTTTTTCATCAGAATTTCATCAATTCTGATCAATTTTGACAAACACGTACTGCGATTTAAGTCCAAGACGTTAAGTGGCCGAAGTGATTTAGAGATCGCCGCTAATTTTATTTTGCTCTCACTCTCTGTCCGCAGTTCGATATACTTTGACTACATACGTATGAATCGTTACTGCCGATTTCTTCATACTTCCCAATAGCTTTCCTTTGGATAAAGATATACTTTATCTTTTAGATGAAGTGTATATTAAAGGACCGTTGCGTACAAACGCGCCGTAAGACATACCGTAAGAATTGACCAATTACAATCGTTTAGGTTCCAAAATGGCAGCTTTATGATGCAAAAATTCTTACTTTAATAGGCTAACTATTACAGTACGCCTCACACATAGTACTGCAATGTGTGTGTGAAGTCTTTAACACTTTGACTGTCAGTTTTTTATCATGGTGTTTACAATAAAATTTTTATATTCTACGTACATAATGATACCACATAAAGTAATATTAATAAGATTAAATAAGATATCCTTATCAATATTTTATCTCGCTGGTGATTATCTGTGATCACCGTGGTCCTACAGTGCAATCGGTTAGTTTTGATAAAGACGATTAAATGTTTTCATCTTGCCACAAAAGAAAATCTGAAATGTCTTTATTTACTTACAAAACCATCGTCGTAATGGACAAATGTCAACTAGACAACTCCGCATAACTTTTACATGTATGATGAAAAAAAACACAATGCTTTGTTCTCGTGTGGATACGCAGTAACAGCCAATCAAAATTTGATTTCAAATTTGATAACGAATTCGAGTTTCTTATGTTGCTATTTGAAATTTCAAGTAATATTTTTTATGAATAAAATATTTGATCACTAAATACAGTATTAAAGCTTCAGTTTATGTAACATTCAGTATGTGTATTTTTTTATAACATAAAATATAATTAATATTGTAATAACGGCTCGATAAAACAATTAGAAGATAAAACACGTCCGGAATACACTGCGTTTTATGTTACATTTAAACGTCCATCTTTAACTTGAACCACAAGCTCTCTACTTTTTTGTCTTATAACACAAAATATTTTTCTTGAAATCAATGTTTACATTGAACAGCATAAAAAAACAATACTTTTACATAATATATTACAGATAACTGAACTCAACAGTTGTGCTAACATTACAATCTTTTATTTCATTGCAAATACTTTATTTTGTTGTTTAGGTAGTATTCATGTGATTATATTTGAATTACATACATTATATATCTGGACCAAAAGTCTTCTTATCATGAATGTTTTGTGTGCTCACATACTCGTACATACTCATAAGATTAAAGATAATAACTCAACTAATGTTGTTTTACAATAGTTAAATATAATACTGAAGTATATATTATTACAATAATAGTGAACTATTAATTTACTTACTTAATCAATAACGTTAAATAATTAATAATTAAAATAAATAACAATGATAAATGTTTGTTAATAAATATTGGTAAGCTGAGAAAATAGGATCCGTTAGTTCAGGTCAAAGGTTTGATCTTTTTATGCAATTGAATCTACAACAAAATACGTCAAATATTTAAAGGTATATTCTTGAAAAATTGTTACAATCTTATCAACTATACAACTCCGCATAACTTTTACATGTATGATACAAAAAAAAACACAATGCTTTGTGTTTTTTTTATATTATTCACGTGTAAATCTTACACGTGAGTTTTTGAATTGAGATTTCAATTCTTAAATTCATATAGGATGCTATATTTGCATCACATATATGAGAACCCCTCTAACTAATTTTAAAATATTGCGAAAAAAACTCCTCGGCCAGGAGTCGAACCTGAAATTTTCGGCTTTCCGTGCCGCATACTATTTTTTATATCGGATAAATATATTCTTATTTTTTCTCAGTTATACCTTTAATTGAAGAAAGATTCCTCGTTGGATTCGCAGAGTTCAGTTCTCGTAGAGATTATAAATCTCATTACGTCATTTTCATCGATGATAAAAGATGTTATGTATGAATACTCTATTAAAGATATTTCATAAAAATATTCATATTGACTTTTGATCTGCCAAAATGCAACTTTAAATTCTGGAAGTACCTAGAAAAGCAAAATAATAGAATAGAATAAAGTTTTTGTGTAACTTCGGTGTCAGTGTTCTAAAAATAATAGACTTTGCTTTTTTCTCTAACCGAGATATATAGTTTAGGTATATCTATGATATCACATATATCATAGATAAAGTTGCAACACAACAACTTTACCGCATTTAGAATGAAAAGAAAAATATATGTAACAACCTTTTGAAGTATACACATGGCTAAAAAGTTCGATCCATCTTTTACACGTGAAAATAGCCAGTAAGATGGGTTTGTTGATCGAAGAATCCATTGATATGTTATTTTCTGTGCTATTAAGAGCGCTACATTCATTTCTTTTTGTTCTTTAGGAGATATTAGATATAAGGAGTAGTACCAAGATACGGAATGTATTTGTATATTTTCTTTTCTATATAAAATAATATTAAAAATACTTTTAATCTTTCCTGAATACTTATACTTCAATATAATTGTATTTACATTGCTAGAAATAATGTAATTGTCTCAAAGACTGGATCAACATTTAGATATTTGTTACAGACATAATTATATATTTAAATCGTAATAATGCTACTTCTCAATGTTTTTACGTTATATGTTTTAAGATATTTTTACAACTTAAAAATATTAAAAAACTCGCAATTATGTTTGTATCATTCTAATAAATATTCAGTACCTATCGGACAATGGAACATGTATTTTGCTTTAACTCAAAATTCTATATCTCTTATTGTATATGTACGTTTTTGAAAGAATGACTATTAAAATAATTGAACATTACCTGTAAAGAATGAAAGAAGGATTTACAAGGATTTCATGTGACAAATTTTCGAGTGCGATGTAATTTGTTTGCGTCACTTTGCATTGGTCTAATAAATTTTGTTCCATTAAGTACTTTGTGACTTCTTTAGTAATGTTCCATGCAAAATCAAATTCGGGTGATAAATCTGAGATGTCTGGGATCCACATTGTGACATTATCTAAATAAACATAAGTGAAATATGAGGTCTTAGGCAATACAATGATGTCTATGCAGTGTGCGGGTATAGGAGGAGTAGATTCGAAGTGCGTCCACATCCGTACGTTACTTTTCTCAAGTTCAAAATTATGTATTTTTGAATTTGTGAAAACCATGTAGTTTGTACGATGGCGTATGGAAACATCAAAAACTGTTTTCAAACGTGGATTGTCCCAACATGGAAATAGTGCTTGTGGACCTCTTACTCGAGTTTGTGTTGCTACCATCCATCTAGTAGTATTAAGAACAAAACACTATAGATGTTAGTTATAATGTTTGTCAATATTTGTATTATTGTGTAAAAATTACATTGACGAATGCATGACTATTTATAAATACTTAATGTGATAAGAAAACCGGCATAAAAACGTCATTTTGTTATTGGTATATGATATGACTTTATATATCATAGTCATATATATATATATATATAAATGTCTATATATATCATATGAAGTATTTGTCCCATTATTAAGTTACTTTTGTTTGAAAAACGTATGTGAATTATTAAAAAAGATAGTGCGTAAATATAACAAACTAAAACAATATATATCTACTTTGTTTCTATGAGAAATAACTGATACTGTTTTTTGGAGAAATATAAGTTATAGGTAGTACTTCTATGCTATCCATATATTTTTTATCGGTGATAATTACTTAAGATCCAAACGGAAATAAACAGTTATTAAAATATAAAATTCTTCTTCTTGTGTATTTTCACTGCTTTACATAACATATAAATAACATATAAATTGTAAATTACAAATGGAAAAAAAACTTTTTTAATAATTTTTTATATTACATATAATATTTTTTGTATTACATTTTAAGCTCAACAACTTGAGTTACTTATGATAATTATTATAAGTCACTGAAGTGACCTAATAATGGAACTACTTTATATCTCCTTAAACTTTAGGTATATGCTTCTGTGATTTAATATCAGATAAAAATTCTTGTTATCTCTAAAACACCTAACACTACTATACACTATCACTTTTTTAACCTCTAAAACACCTAACAAACTGTAAATATCACTATTATTTTAAATTTTTACTCACTGTAATTCTCCTTTTAGGTTTTTATAGGAAGTTAAAATGAAGCCATCCGTCTCTGCACTATTAGTCACTTCCGTAGAAAATATTATTTCCAAAACATAATATCCACATTCTATCGCTTTGTTAAAAACTAAGACAACAAGTGAATCTTTAAGCTGATGCTTTTTTGGTTTATATGTTGCAATTAAATGTTCTCGAACATACGGTTCTCTTATTGTTACATTATACGGATTTATCTTATGCAACGTAACGTCTTGTACAAATGCGAATGATAGAAAACCTAGATGTTCGATGTTCTCTTCAATACGAATAGTGATACGGCTTTCACCATTAATGGCAATATTTTGTCTAATATGATTAGGTAATTCTATGTCGAGTTTGTAATATAATGGTGTTATGTGTTCCTTAAATGTGAATTCTCTATAATTATAGTTTCCGTCTACGAGAACAATTAGTATGTTACTTATAAACAGTTGTAAAAAAAGCATGACAATTTTTACTTTCTGCATCTGTGAAACGAATTTTTGCATTACAAGAAAGGACGAGAAAGAAAACTCAGAATTGTTTATTTCTAGTATAACTTTTATGTAAGGAAAATAGCAAGTTATATCGAATTGTACAGAAATAGAAAATAAGAGAAAGAAAATGCTATTGAGATGAATAAAACTAAAGATTAATAGAAACTTTGTAAAACGCAATATAAAATATAAAAATTGTTTAGTATTTCTTGTATACCGTGACGTGATGATTAATCGGAAATGTGCTGCAGTTGTGTTAATGTATATATCTTACCTTAAAAATTAATGAACTTGCGTCGAACTTGTGTTATATTGGATACAAATCTTTTTGAAAAGTAGTCAAAAAGTCTGAAAGTATCGTCCGAAATAGATAATCTGAAAAAACACATAATTTTCGAAAATTTATATTTGCAATTTCTGCTTGTTATACTTGCAAATCTTGGTTGCAACGTACTTTTGCAAATTGGAAAATAGTATAAATGAAAATATGAATTTGAACATAAGTTTATATAAACCGTTCATAGAAACTGTTTTCACATTTGCTCGATCTCAACAACAGAAACGAGTAAAGTACTGTTTATTAAGTATATTTTAAACTATGTTTTTTTAGAAAAAATTGACGACATTAAAAATGACTACATTAAAATACTTGCATAACAATTGATACAATTTTATGCAACACAGAGATAAGAAATGTGTACTACATTAAAATCTGATGCGTTGATAATTTTGAAACTGACTGCAAAAATAAATCGATCATATTTCCCTTGTGCATATTTTTGAACTATTTGAATCTTCTATACATATACGTGCAGTACTTTATAAGTTTGCAAACTCCTTACGTTTTAAGGCAAACAATCGCAATGACAGCAATCTGTGTATGTTTTTGGTTTAAATACATTGTAAGACGTGATGATAACACTATCAAATCATGATAAAACAACAAAACATGTTTATTTAGAACATTTATAAGCCTGTATATGTTAAAAATATGTAGAACAATCATTTCGTGGCATCGTGCTTGCGTGCGTTTTAAATGATTGTCCAATATCTTTTCGGCATCTACAAGCTTATAAATGTTCTAAATAAAAAACAGGAATTATTATTATTATCTAAAAGAAGAAGTTTAATTCCACGTGTACGCTAGGAAACTGTTATTCCATTTTTTTTACGGATAATGAATTTAAAAAACACTTTCGGCATGTACAAATAAATATAAATATATAATTAAATATAAGAATTTAATAATGGAAAACATACAACTTGTCCTTCACTAACACACACACACACACATATATATATACATATGTATGTATATTTTGCATAAAATTTTTAATTTCTAGAGCACAAATGCACGGTATGTTTTAAGGAAGTTGTTCGTATACCAACAGTTTTCCAAATTATAACATACCAACAGTCCTGTGCAAATTATAACACTTAGCGCATAACTTTCTTACAAGAAACAAATATGTAAAGAAATACTTACATCGCTATCGCACTCTGTGTCCGATGTGTATTGTGTCATAGAATGATCGAAACTGAACGTGTTGTAAGAGTGTAACTTGACTTATAGAAATACCTGTTATATACTACAGAATTGTCTGGCAATGTCGGTGAAGGTCATGCGATATGTGTACCGAAAACAACATCTTGCATCCTTGTTTGGAATTTAATAAAAAATAAAGATGTAACAGAGTGCTTCGAAGCATCTGTAGTCTTCGAAGTATACGTAAACTCACATGAAATCATTTCTTTTTAAAGCAACTATTTCCGCGAATTTCTTTTTCATCAGGATTGATGAATTCTGATCAATTCTGACAAACAAGTACTGCAATTATTTAAATCCAAAACATTAAGTGGCCGAAGTGATTTAGAGATCGTCGCTAATTTTATTTCACTCTCACTCTCTATCTACAGTTTGATATACTTTGATTATATACCTATGAACTGTTAGTCGGTTTGTATCTTGTAATGTAGATTAAAGAACTGCTGCACACAAAAGCGCTGTAACGTAAGACATACCGTAAGAATTGACCAATTACAATCGTTTAGGTTCCAAAATGGCAGCTTTATGATGCAAAAATTCTTACTTTGATAACTGTTACGGTATGTCTTATAGTACGGCAATTTGTGTGGGAAGGTGTTAACTGTCAATTCTATCCTGGTGCCTATAATAGAATCTTTATAATTCTAAGTACATAATGATAAAATATTAATATGATTAAATAAGATCATAGATATTCTTATCAATATTTATTTAGCCAGTGGTTATCTGTGACTACAGTTTTTATTTTATTTTAATCGTTTTAAAAAATATAGTAACACCGATATCACCGGAGAGCCACTAAGGCCTCGTTAAGAAGACAAGCACCGGATGACCACCGTAATAATCAATGCAGTGTTCACAACGCTTTGGTCGCTCAAGTTACAGGAAAGTGTAACATAACAGTAACGCAATGATACTTCAAAATAAAGAAAGAAAGAGACGAAACACGATATACGTTCATTAACACAGCTAAAGCTACGACGCGTGCGACTTGAAAAGACATTTACAACGACTATCTCAGGCTCTTTCAAAAATAACAATCTTATTGCATGTCAATAAATTACACAATAAAATGTTTTTACTTTGTCAAAAACAAATCCGAAACGTCTTTGTTTACTTAAAAAATCGTCACAAAGATGATATATTAATGCTGATTAAACAATTTTGCAAGAGTTCTACTCAAATTTGATATAACGAATACAGCGTTCGAGTGTCTCGTGTTGTTTTATGTTTATTTGTCATTTCAAAAAATATTCCTTGTGAATAAACTATTATTTAGTCAATATATATAAATGAAGTAAGTATTAAAACTTCAGTTATATACTATATGTAATATTTTTTTAATTATAATATATATAAAATATATATAAAATATTGTTCGTGAAATCAATGTTTACATTGAATAGCATGAAAAATCAATACTTTTAAATAATATATTATATAGATAAGACTGTATAATATATAACTAAATATATTATAGGATTCAACAACTGAGCTAATAATAAAGTCTTTTATTTCATTTCAAATACTTTATTTTGTCGTTTAGTTGATAGTCATGATTATTTGAATGATAAACATTACACATACACATCTGGACCGAAAAGTTGTTCTTCTGGTTTTTCTCCAGCAATGATTTGCTCACGAGGTACATACTTGTACGTTTAAATATAATAAATATAAATGTTATGCTATAATACTTAACTATAATACAATAATAATTAAGTATTAATGTTATTAATCGTTTAATTAATAGTTAAATATATAAGTAGTTAAAAATATAAGTACTTATTTATAGCAAATAGATTAAAAAAAAGAGACTTTCCTTATGTGTTTAGATTCTATACGTTTAAGAATTTATATTGGTTTATTATATTCTCTATCTTTGATTTAAGAAAATCTAACGAAGTAATTGTTTTCTCTTTTCGAACATTTCTGAAATCATCAGTTGATCTCAAAGATATTATAAATTCCACTACGTCTTCCACATTAAAATGAAAAGATGTGGAATATATTTCTTCATATTTCATTAGAATTGACGAATTTATCCATTCTAATTGTGGAACTATCTATAAATGAAAATTAATGGATTAGAATGAAATTTTTCTGTAAATCTATCGACAATGTTCTCAAAATAACAGACCCCACTTTCTGCATAGGAAATATACATATTGGGCACATTTGCGACAAGATTTACATTCGATGGATTTAGCATTTTTAGAAAAAATTATATGTAACAACCTTTCGAAGTATATATGTGCTAAAAAAGTTAGTCGCGCCGTGTAACCAAGAGGAAGACCAAGATAATGAGCTTATTGATCGAAGAATCCACTGATATGTCATTTGCTGTACTATGAAGGATATTACATTTAATTTGTCCTGAACTGAAGATATATTTTCGGTAAAGAGTATATGTTGTTCTCTAAAATAATGTTAAAAATAATTTCACTTGTTCCTGAATGAGTGTGTTTCATTTACATTGCAAGACAAAATACGTATCTCGATGACTGGATATGTATGTCACTAGCCGAACATTTATTGAAAAACTAGAAATAATTGATAAATTACTAGATATTAATAATAACAATGCTCACTGTTTTAAATGAAATATTTTTTAAGGTACACAACCTTTTGGTTTTATTATTAGTTTGTCTATTTTTCTATATATAAATACTTTGTGTTATAATTATTGCCATAATATCGGGTTGATTCAAAACTAAGCCGCGAGTTTTACCAAAATTAAAAATAACACAAATATCACTTATGTTTGCACTAAATCACTAAATGTCCAGCTAGTTATACTTATATTCATTTCATAAACACAAAAATCTACAAACGTTACATTGTTATATATACAAACGTATTTAAAAACTTGAAAATTGAAGTAATTGCCTTACATATATTACCTATAAATAACAAAAGCATGAGTCGCAATGACGTCATTTTCTGAAAAATCAGTTGTAGCGATGTAATTTGTATCCGTAACTTTGCATTGGTCTAATATATTAAGTTGTTCTAAATACGTCTTGACTTTCCAAATAATGTTCCATGTTAAGTTTAATTGAGTCCGATGTGCAAAGTTGTCTAATAAAGACCACAACATAACGTGATCATGATCGTACTGATCACGATACGGAGTGTGTTCGGGCATTGCAACGATAGCTATGCAATGTGGGGATATAGAAGGAGTAGATTCGAAGTGCGTCCACATCATGTCTCCGTCAAACGTTGAATTACGTATTTTCGAATTCGAGAAAGCCATATAGTTTTTAGGATGGCGTATAGAAACGCTAAAAACTGTCTTGAAACGTGGATTGTTCCAACATGGAAAGATTGTTTGTGGTCCACTCATTTGAGTTCGCGTTACTATCATCCATCTATAGTATTTATAACAAAAGAAATGTTATAGATATTTCGATCACAGTGTTTATCACATAAAAATTGCACAATTGTGTAAAAGTCACATTGACAAACATACAACTAGTTAGAAATATTTATAAATAACGCAAAATATGACATTTGCTCTAGCAGCATAATGACAACGTCAAAACGACGTCATTTTGTCAATGGGATATATATACATGTACAGAGTAAAGACGTAACTTTAACTTATTGTAACATATATGTAAAATTATGGTAATTATCATAATTTACTGAAATGACTTATTACTGAAGACGGTTTGTTTTTGTTATTTGCTGTCTAAATATCTCCTATACTTTAATATCTACTTTAATATCTAGATGCTTAAAGTGAACTTGTAAAGCGTAAAATAATGATCCCTACTTTCACAACAAACTAGATATTATTTTTTTTATTTTGAATTGTACTCACTGTTTATTTCCACTGAGGTCTGTACAGGAAGTTCGAAGAAAGCCATCAATCGTAGTATTTTCAGTAAACCTACTATAAAATTGTATTTCTAAAACATAATATCCACATTCTATTATTTCATCAAAGTCTAGTTTAACAAGTCCCATTTGGAAAAAAAAACTATAGGTCTTCGGTGTATAAGTTGCAACTAAATGCTTCCGATTGCAAGGTTTATTTATTATCATATTATTCGGGTCAATCTTCTTTAATGTGGCGGTTTCTATTTTATTCATGTATGAGTGAAAACTTATTGTTTGCTTTTTCTCTTCAATACGAATAGTGATACGGCATTCACCTCTAAAGAAACCTTCTTCTATTTCTGGCATTAAAATGAGTTCGTAATATAATGGTGTTATGTTATACGTGCCCAATATATAATCAGTATTTATTTTTGCGGAAAAAATTAGACTGTTACTTAGTGACAATAGTAAAAAAGGCATGATAACTCTTTCTTTACACATCTGTAAACAAAATTGTTGTATTACAGAAAACAAAGAAATAAAACTCATCGGAGAATTGTTATAACTTTAACTTGAAGATAAGTAAGAATCGTGTTAAAGTTTACAAAACACAAAAGAAAAAGAAAGAGTGAAAGTGACCTATTAAAAATTAAAACTCTAAATATAAAACTTCAGTAATATTACAAACTTTGTAAAACGCAATTGAGAATATGTACAAATTATTTTTTTATATAACATGATGAGTCAAAACTGTCAAAAATGTACATTGCGCAGTCGCAAACGTACATATATCTGCACTCACCTTGTGAAATTATGAAATGCACCGTGAGTGATGAATTTTCTCTGTCTTATAGCTTTCAGATCTTTTTGGGAAAATCGTCTCTAAAAAGTCTAAAATTATGTCGTTTGAAAATCTGGAAAAACTCAACAAATATAATTCTGAAATTTGTATTTGCGTGTTACACTGTGAAATATAATTTCGTTTAGTTGCACGTTTGGTTGCGGAAATACTCTTGCGATTGGGAGAATAAAATATGTTTGAACATAAGTTTATATATAAATTGTTACATCTGTTCGACGTAATAATGAAAAATTGTGCGTGTTCTCAATTTTTACAAATCTTCTACGTGCATATTACGTACACGTATTCTAATTTGCGCAGAAATCTTAATGTAGAGAAAACAAACAAAATCTTTAAAGAACCTTGGTTAAATGTCCGAAAAATATTTTTAACAGCACACTGTCGAAAACATAGATGTCGTAAAAAGACAGCAATTTGTTTCCAATCTGCCGACTTGTGTGCATCTGCTATCAATCTGTGACGTTGTATTTAGTAAAACCAAACGTTCTCGCGTCAAACTCACTTTTAAAGCAATAAAATTCATGTCTTATTCGATAAAACAACAACAATGCGACGATTTTGATAACAATTTTGTTTTTGTTTAAGAAAACACTGGCTTTTAACACATGCGCGCTCTGTTTTAAAAGATTTACTTCTACCTGTTGTTTTATATACATTTCTTCGTGTGCAAATTATAACAATATTAACTTCTTACTCAAAAAAACGTTAATATAAAAAAGTACTTACAATCTGCATCCGATCTGTATCGTTTTAAAGATTTATTGAAACTGAACGTGGTGTAAGAGTGTAAGAGTGTGCTTGTAGTCAAGAAATATTTACCATATTACGGAACTTTCTGGCAAATGTCGGGAAAGGTCATGCACGTGTACCGATTACTACATGCTTTATCTTGAATATAATGGGAAATAAAGACGGAATGATTCTTCGAAACATCTGAAGCGCGAAAATGACCGTAACCGAAAACTCGTACAAAATCATTTTCTCTGTTAAAGCAAATTCCGAATTTTTTTTTCACTTATGAATTTTGGTACATATAAAATACATGAAAAGTATTTGTGGTCAATTTTCTATTGCTTTTTGACGAAAGATTGGATAGTATCAGTTAGTTATAAATTTTGCACATCGACGTGGCACCGCGTACATACAACCCATATTGAGATCACATTCGAATTTCTAATTTAATCAGAACACACTTGATTAATCTGTGAGTGACATTTTATGTTCTGACTGGTCGATTCTCATCATTTCCGAATAAGAGCTAATCGGCAGATTGCCATGTGGTCATTTACGCGATTCCCACAATTTTTTCAAACTGCTGGCACCGCAACACTTTCAAATGCGAAAATCGATGGGTTGCAGGCCGAATATCGAGATAAAACCCATCAGAATTTGCGATATTTCTCAGATGTTTCGTTAGCATCAAAAACTTCGAAACGCGAAAATCGATGGGTTTCAAACCGAATAGCGATCTAAAAATTATCAGTAACTGTTGTAAGGATTATAGGAATATAAAACAAGACTATCAGTCTTCTCTCTGCTTTGTACGACTAAAGCCGCCAAAATATTAGACTTTAACATAGCAATTTAATTTTCGAGAAACATTCTTTTCTGAATAGTGATAACAGCTATGCAGTTGTCGCAGCCGCTCTTGATCTTTTCTTTTGATCTTTTTTTTTTACCGACATAAGATTCTTTATCGACACATCTCGTGGATGTGGTTACGTAGTTGCCAATGTGCACTAGGATGGACATAGCGCTGGTAAACATAGAACGGAAAAGCGATAACAGCTAAACCAGAGAGAAGCCTGAGAGCGGCCAGGTCCATAAGAGAATGTGTAATCGCTTTTCCGCCCCGTAAACTAGCGCATGTCCACGAATGGTACACATTGGAACTACGCAGCCAGTCCACGAGCGACATGTCGGTCCACAGCGTGCGGTTCTATTCCGTGCTATGTGCACGCGCTCAAATGGTCACCTTCTTCAGGCGTGTATATTCGCGAGCGTGGATTTGATTTCTTTTGAAATTTAAAATGATCGGAGTCTCGTGATGAGAAGATACGAAAGGAGAATAGAAAAGGATAAAAAAAAAAAAAACATTGCAACTTTCCACACAACATAAATGTGATATACAAAAAAAGATGTGATAGTCAAAAAAATAATATTATTTTAGCGAGCAGCATCAGAATTCGTGGAGTGTATCATCTCCTTTTACATCATCATTTGCTGCTTTTGCTTTATAAATTTTATTTTATTTTATCAAAAATTACATATATACGTATAAATACAAATTACACAAAAAGACATGTATATTACACAAAGGTGTTTTGCCGGTACACAAATATATACGTCTGAAAAGTTGCAATTCCAAAAAGAATATCTATTACTCTGCTTTATTACAATTCTTTATCAGTGTTTTCAATTTTTAAGTTTCATTTTACAATTTTTTATACATTGTAATAGAATACAATAGTTTACATATATTACATATGACATACAATATAATACAATATTATACAATATATACATAATATATATAATACTACCTACCTATCTTAACCATCTGACATATCTTAAACGTTACTAGCCTCATTAATTAAGATTAAGGCTGCATAACAGCCTTGATCCTAATTGTACATTTTTAATTCTTCTACCTACCTACCTCCGATCTAACATATTTCTTATCTATCCGGCCTAATTTATTTTCTACAAGCACTTGTAAATACGCATCCCTACCTACACAGATAACTACCTATCTACCTATTTACTTTGAAAAGTTTTAAAACCTATCAAATATTTTACGCGAGGGGCAATTGTTTTAAAATTAAAAAATAATAGTTTAGATATATTTTAGTTTCACGTCCGAGTTTTGTTTTAGATTTTATGATTGAAAGAAGAATTATATCCACCCGATAACGCCCATCAAGTATAATTAGAAGAGATAGAAATATTAATATTTCTTATTTTCTATCTATTATTTTATAATAGATAGAAAAAATATATATTTCAATATATATTTTTCAATATATATATTTCAAATATATATTTCAAATATATATTTTTGCAAAGATTAAATATAAAAGAATAAAAATGTAGAGAATAGATATAAAAACCACACATAAGTCTCCAAAAAACGATTCTATATCGGTTCTTTAAGAGAAATTGATATAGAAATATAAAAGTGGACGTAGAAAAAATATATAAAGAATATAAGTCTTTAAAAAAAGATTCTATATCAGTACTTTAAGAGAAATTGATATAGAAGTACAAAAGAACACAAGTCTCCAAAAAATATTCTATATCGGTTCTTTAGGAGAAATTGATATAGAAATATGAAAGTAGAGATGTAGAAAATACAAATAAATATATATATGTATTTTAAAAAATATAAAAAA